AGGTATGTTGTAAGGTACAAACATACTGTACATGATGGAGGTATGTTGTAAGGTACAAACATACTGTACATGATGGAGTATGTTGTAAGGTACAAACATGTTGTACATTATAGAGGTATGTTGTAAAGTACAAACATACTGTACATGATAGAGGTATGTTGTAAGGTACAAACATACTGTACATGATGGAGATATGTTGTACATGATGGAAGTATGATGTAAGGTACAAACATACTGTACATGATGGAGGTATGTTGTAATTTACAAACATACTGTACATGAAGGAGGTATGTTGTAAGGTACAAACATACTGTACATGATGGAGTATGTTGTAAGGTACAAACATGTTGTACATGATGGAAGTATGGTGTAAGGTACAAACATGTACATGATGGAGATATGTTGTAAGGTACAAACATGTACATGATGGAGATATGTTGTAAGGTACAAACATGTTGTACATGATAGAGGTATGTTGTAAAGTACAAACATACTGTACATGATGGAGATATGTTGTACATGATGAAAGTATGTTGTAAGGTACAAACATGTTGTACACGATGGAGATATGATGTAAGGAAAATACTTAAAATGTGTTGAAAAAGATGAAGAAACTGGAGGGATATGTTTTATTTATAGAAACGTGACAAACATACTTTTTAAAGTAGGAGTATTTAGGAAAACAATATTTCAGTTTGTAAAGGTTAATGTTAAATTATTTGTTACCTAATCACATTCGAATCCGGATCATATTGCTTTATTTGATATCATATTTATAGCGTATTCATCAGACTTTGTAGCGGTAAGCAAACCGGTCCTTCCATCGCTTTAAGCACGTACCCCTCATTAAGCGATATTTTAACAGTTTGTATGCGACAGTTATTGTTCTTCAAAATGCTGTCGTAAAGTGAGAAGCGAAGACTGAGGAGTAGAGCGAGCGAAGAATGAAGTAAGGATGAAACACGTTAGTTCATGATAAGGACAGCTATATACAGTGTCTTGTTATTCAGGAACACTTGTCAGCTCAAAAGCGCGTGTTGACATCCAACGCCAACTCGATCTTATCGCCTACTTACCAAGATATTTTTCTTTATTTATTTTTAGCTTCAATGAGGTTCAGTTTATTCATTTTAAGTTCCACATTGTGGTTAACTTAACATATGTCCTTGAATAAAAAAGAAAGAAAGAAAAAAGGTGGAAAACATCATATATGATACAGGAAAAGCTTTTCTTCCGAGGGTTATATTATTTTCTATACCACTTAAGTGAAAAACTATTAAAAAACGGGGTTTGAAAGTTTGCATACTATCCTACTTTTGTAAACGAATAATTGAATTGCATTTTAAATCCATGTGAATTTTTTGTGTAACAAGTTCGTCAACGTTCGCAGTAGACTTATGTAGTATTATGCTTTGTTTTATTATTGTTATATTTTGTGTGTTGGAAGGGGTAGAAACTTGACAATTTGCAAAGCGGGTATAACATACATATTAATCATTATACTATGTAGGCCAAGACACCTGCAAACATACGAAATAAACAAGACTATAAATTAGGTTAAACTTAAGAGTAGGCTTAGCTCGCAGTAATCTATTAATTAGAACGTAATACTATGATTACTAAGAAATTACATGCGACTGATAAATTAATAAGAAGGCTATCGAAATCCCTCCCGTGTTTATAATGTCGGCCAACAAAGAAAGTTTGCTGGTGTCTTTGTTAGTCTTAGATATATCTAAAAGCCTTTCTCCAAACGTGCTTTAATACAACCTTCTTACAACACTAATGTCATATTTAAATCTTATTATACTACTGTTACAACATATTAAATTTTCTTATACCAATAATGACATAGTAGAGACCCTCGTATTCCCACCAACACCCCCTCCGTATGCCACTATTATCACAGCAGAGATCCTCTTAAGCCACAAATTCCACATTTGAGACTTTCTGATACCAAAAATGTTTTTTATGAACAGAATCTTGTCTACTAATGCATTATATTTATAACAATAGTGATCTATATTCGTATCTTAATACATCAACTTTATGTTTGTTTGTTTGTTTTCAATTTCGCGCAAAGCAACACGAGGGCTATCTGCACTAGTCGTCCCTAATTTAGCAGTGTAAGACTAGAGGGAAAGCAGCTAGTCATAACCACCCAACGCCAACTCTTGGGCTTCTCTTTTACCAACGAATAGTGGGATTGACCGTTACATTATAACGCCCCCACGGCTGAAAGGGCGAGCATGTTTGGTGTAACGGGGATTCGAACCCGCGACCCTCAGATTGCGATTCGAGTGCCCTAACCACCTGGCCATGCCTGCCCTCCACATTATGACGTAGTGCTAATTGTGACAAGTTAATTTTTGCTAGGTACAAATACAGCCTGTTTCAAAATTCACTTCCTCTGTTCAAACGACTTCGTTCAAGAAATCGATGGACATAATGTTGTGGACCTCAAAGTGTAGACCAATTTAACAATGTAGAAAACAATGTACATAATGCAGTGATTTGTTCGAAATTCTTTGAATATGTAACTTGTCTTCCGCACGGCCAAACATGTCTACGTAGCTGAAACACCCGATATTGTTGCAATATGGAATCACTTTGCTTTTCGCTATTTGTTGTGGGCCCTAAGAATGGACAAAACGTATTTGGCCGTCATGTTCCAAAGGCACACTTCAGCTATCTACAATAGAGTGCGTTACTTACTGTAAGGTTAGCCTCACGTGCTTAGCCCAAAACAAGATTAAATGGATAAATTCAGAAATTTGCTTTTGAAGCTGTCATAACGTTATTTCGTGGCAGGGGTTGAGAAAAAAAATGTATATTCAGCCCTACACGTAAAAGGAGAATACTATGGTGTGTTATATGGCTTTGTCCACTTTCCGACCACTCACCTTATCTTCTCGCGTGTATTTTGTTTTTTCTTGGCAAGGAGAAGTAATTTGTCTTCTAACAAAGGATGACGTTTTACAATAAATCTTCCAATATCAGGTGCAGAGCCAGAAGCATCTGCCCATAAATCAACCATAAATATTCTTATAGCCAAGGCATGCGTGCAGGTATTTTAATATAAAACACATTCACACTCAAATATTTTAAAGACAATGAAATATGAAACAAACTACGTCAAACAGGAAACTGGAAAAAATCTGCTAAAGTTAAGATCTACGTTTCTGATAAGACTTTGCATGAATTTTCATTTTAATAGCAGTTGTACATTAATGGTTATCCCCATTACAGCTGCCCGAAGCTACGTAGATAAAACGATAAGAAAAATACATTGATTTGTTTTTAAAATATACCTCGTTAATTCTTATTTAACAAGAGTATTTGTGAAATGTCGTTGACACTTTAAAGGCAAGTTGGCGGTATCTATTAAACTTAGGGTGTGTTTATGGACGATGAAAACTGGATATTCAGGACAAAAATTGGCATATAGGATTGTTTGTTTTGTAATTAAGCACAAAGCTACACAATGGCCTATCTGTCCTCTGCACACCACGGGTATCGAAACCCAGTTTCTAGAGTTGTAAGTCCGGGGTTGTAGGAAATCTTGTGTGTAACAGGTAGCATCCAAAACTAAGTTTCAATCAAAAGAAATAGAGAAATATAAACTTTCATAGCATTAGAATACTGGGAATCTAATCACAGCATTCTAGTTGTTGTTGTTTGTTTTAGAGCAAACAGGCTATCTGCTGTGTCTATCGAAGGACTAGTCACACTATCATCTTTAGTTCAAATAAGGTAAATATAAAATAAATGAAATGAAAATAGTGATTCTAAAGAAAGAATTTCAGAGCAGAAGAACACAAAAAGTTATATCGAGAGACTTACTATAGTATCCCCAGAAGACTGAAGTTTTATTGGTACTTTTCACAATGTTCAGTATATAACACATACAGCTCTAGAAGTGTGTAAGATGTATAGATACATTCATTTACTGAAGCATGCAGTCCAATTCAGAGTTAACGTGATAATAAGCTTTGGTCTAGACAGCGATATGACGTAATCAAGCTTGATTACATGTGACTGGCTGATGTAAGCTGTTATTAGTTTTTTTTTTTTAAGAGATACATACACCACATAAAACAAAAGATAATTAGAACTTATAGCAAATTAACAATGACCAGATAAAACCACTGTTGTAAAACACTGTCAGCTACTCCTCTCTCAGCTATTTAATGGTCATACAGCCTACGTCCGTAAATGAACATTTTGTAGAGATGTTTTGTTTTACTTCTTTCCTGTTCATGACATTTCAATTGAACATGGAGTGTGGACACATGAACATCAGGGGCGATTTGATACTGATGTTGTATTCTTAAAGTCAGAGTGCTGGTACGACCCTAAATCCCCCTTCACCATATCTCTCAAGCAGCTGTTTACAAGATGTTTCTTAAGTGTCAGGATTCACTTGACGAATGTAACGCATCTTACAAAATATTCCATACTAGCCTGATGAGTTTGAAGTCCGGCAAGTGAAGCATTCCGCGCATGCCCGTGAGATTGAAGTCTAGTAAGTATGCCAATTGCATCACGTTATAGTACTAGTAGCACAAAGGGTTGTAGGAGGAGTTCTGTATAATGTGTGGCATTAATGGTACCCCACTACAGGATATATTGGTCAGTACGTTCATCTATGTTTACTACAGAATATATTGGTCAGTATGTCCATTTATGTTTACTACAGGATATGATGGTCAGTACGTCCATTTATGTTTACTACAGGATATCATCTTTCACCATACGCGTCACGTTACAGTATAAAAATGGGATTCTGGGATTGCTTCTGTTTTTCTCCATCAGTGAATGACTATTATCTGTAGTGGGACTCGTATGGTAACAACGTTACGCAATTTTTTTTACACTTTCAATAAAATTATTTTCTGCGTTTTATTTCTCCTGACAGATTGCGAGCTAAGCCTAATATAATTTGTTATCAGAGGCATAACCTTCATAATATCTTTTAAAGATTTGTGTCAGTGGTTTCGATCGGTTGAACAAGAAGTCCGAATGGTTTGTACAGTTTCACAACCTTTATGGTTAGAGAGCTGGAAATTAATGTCGATAGAGCGACATATGTAGTTGATGAAATAGATGTCACATTACTGGTTTGTAATGTTGAATAGGGAAGTCTGTAATCTGTTACAAAACATTACAAAGGTATGTGTTGAATAGGAATGTCTTTGATCTGTTACAAAATATTACAAAGGTATGTGTTGAATAGGGAAGTCTTTAATCTGTTACAAAACATTACAAAGGTATGTGTTGAATAGGGTTGTCTTTAGTCTGTTACAAAATATTACAAAGGTGTGAGTTGAATAGGGAAGTCTTTAATCTGCTATAAAACATTACAAAGGTGTGTGTTGAATAGGGGTGTCTCTAATCTGTTACAAAGCATAACAAAGGTATGTGTTGAATAGGGAAGTCTTTAATCTGCTATAAAACATTACAAAGGTGTGTGTTGAATAGGGATGTTTTTACTATGTTACAAAACATTACAATATGATATTTTTTAAACTCAACCAGGTTGTCTCCGAACACTTAAGATTGATGATACTTTACTCAGTCGGCTTGTTATTAAAATTCTGTCTCGAATGAACGTTCCTTAAGACGTATTGAAACAGATGAAATGAGTCATACACTAGTGACAATCGCTTGCTCGGAAAGTGAAAATATTGTATAAATGGATTGTTTCGTCGTTTATTTTCTCAAAATGTAACCTTTATGTTTATATTCTGAGCCTACTTTTAATTCTATTTTATTTATGCTAACCTGTATAACGTAGACTATTATGTTTTGAGGTTTATTTTCTATGAAAACTTTCGCCGTTGCACGGATTGGCGTTTCTTTCTTGTTCAGAAGTTCCACCCAACGAATTAGCTGGCCTTTAAAGAAATTTTCAATAATTATATAGTGCTTCTAGTGACACCTAACTGTGGTTTGTATCACATAATTCGTAAACAGAAACGCCCGCTTTATCAAGGGGTGTTATTACGAAGGGGTGGATGTTTATCTCAGAGATCATCAGTTATGATGTGCCCCGAAGCTCCTTGATCTGCGTCAACTAAGGCTGAGGTGTTCAGGAACAAAAGTCGCTATTCGGAGGGCGAAAGAATACCTCACTGGTCACTCTGCTTTGTACGTTGGAGAACGGCTACCTCACTGTTCACTCTACTCTATACGTTGGAGAGCGGCTTTCCTGTACGTGCGTAAGTTGAACCTTGTACAACGATAACGATCACAACTGGTCAGTATGATTTCATTTCTCAGACGTCGTTTGTTTGGACTGAATGACTTCATTCACTAAATGCAGTTTTATACCTGGTCCCCCCACTCCAAAGAGTATAAACAACGCCAGGTGTTATCTGTCTTTTAAACAGTATGAACAACGTCAGGTGTTATCTGCTTTTAAACAGTATGAACAACGTCAGGTGTTATCTGTCTTCTTAATTAAACAGTATGAACAACGTCAGGTGTTATCTGGTCGTTGTTCATATTGTCTAATTAAAAGACAGATAACACCTCACGTTGTTCATACTGTTTAATTAAGGAGACAGATAAAACCTAGCGTTGTTCATACTGTTTAATTAAGAAGACAGATAAAACCTAGCGTTGTTCATACTATTTAATTAAGAAGACAGATAACACTTGGCGTTGTTCATACTATTTAATTAAGAAGAACAGATAACACCTCACCTTGTTCATACTGTTTAAAAGACAGATAACACCTCACGTTGTTCACATGTTTACTTAAAAAGACAGATAACACCTCCCGTTGTTCATATTGTTTAATTAAAAAGACAGATAACACCTATTTTCAACAGTATGAACAAGGTGTAGTGTTATCTGTCTTCTTAATTATACAGTACGAACAACGTGAGGTGTTGTCTGTCTTTTAAACAGTATGAACAACGCCAAGTGTTATCTGTCTTTTTAATTAAACAGTATGAACAACGCCAAGTGTTATCTGTCTTCTTAATTAAACAGTATCAACAACGTGAGGTGTTATCCGTCTTTTAAACAGTATGAACAAGGTGAGATGTTATCTGTCTTCTTAATTAAATAGTATGAACAACGTCAGGTGTTATCTGTCTTCTTAATTAAACAGTATGAACAACGTGAGGTGTTATCTGTCCTTTAAATAGTATGAACAAGATGAGGTGTTATCCGTCTTTTTTAAACAGTATGAACAAGGTGAGGTGTTATCTATCTTCTTAACTAAATAGTATGGACAACGTCAGGTGTTATCTGTCTTCTTAATTAAATAGTATGAACAACGTCAAGTGTTGTCTGTCTTCTTAATTAAATAGTATGAACAACGCCAGGTGTTATCTGTCTTCTTATTTAAATAGTATGAACAAAGCCAGGTGTTATCTGTCTTCTTAATTAAACAGTATAAACAACCCCAGGTTTTATCCGTCTTCTTAATTAAACAGTATAAACAACGCCAGGTTTTATCTGTCTTCTTAATTAAACAGTATGGACAACGTCAGGTATTAACTGTCTTCTTAATTAGACAGTATGAACAACGCCAAGTGTTATCTGTCTTCTTAATTAAATAGTATGAACAACGCCAGGTGTTATCTTTCTTCTTAATTAAACAGTATA